GGAGAGCTGGAAATTTTTGCAAGCGAAATTTTTACTAGCAGAAGAAGAAGAAGAATGAATGTCAAACGCTGTCATTAGTTGAATTGGTTAAGCGTAAACAAAAGTAAAATGAGTGGAAATCAAAATATTATTGATGTACTGGCCTGTTTAAGTGCTTGTGTGTAATGCAAAGAGTTTAAAACTGATTTATAAATAGTAAAATGTTTACAGCAGAATGTCAAAACGGTGCAACAACTATTCACTTGCAAGTTTTTACTAGTTTTGTGTTCAATAAGGTCGGTGTTATGCAGATATTTTGTTTGGCAAACTGCGTGCAATTGTTGTTGCAGCAAATTTTGTTTGGTCAAACTGCAGCAAATTCGGTGTTGTCCTGTACAAAAATTTTAGACAATTGTTGCTATACACAAAAATTGCCGTGATACCGAAAGCCAGAGAGCTGAATTTATGCTGTAGGAGTTTCAAAGGTTAGGGCACAGTTAATTGCCTATACGATGTCATAAAAAATATATTAATTGTACGCGTTATGTACATCTGAAATTCTCATTTCGTGTTGGCAATAGCCATGAAAACCATAATGAACGTGCAACCCTGTGCCAAACTCGACATAACCACCTCCGAGCAAACTAAGCAGCCGCCATTTAATTTGGCAAAGAAAAGTTTGTCTGCACAACACCGACCTAAGTTTTTCTGCTAGTTTTCTCTTCTTCTCAATTTTACGCTCTATTTTGCTTTTACGCTCTCGCTGCAATCTTTTACTGGCGAAGTTACTATACAAACCTACAAACTCGCCCGAAAAAATAGTCTGCGCGACTTCGGGTTAGTGAGAAACAAAAATTACTCTCTCAAAGTGGCTCTCAACAGCCAGAAAACCAACCAAAGAAAAACAAATTGGGCACTTTCGGGCGAGCAAAAAAACATTTTTTGGCATGGTACAATAATTACAGGTACTGTCTTCCCAGAGCGCATATTCCGATCTGCCTTATTTAAAAAATATCATTGTTGCCCACACTAAAAGGTTTACTGCTAGGGAAAAGGGATATATCTATACCCCATATACCATATATGTACACATATTTTTTTTTGAACAAACCTTCTTGCAGAGAACTTATTAAATTTGGTTGTAAATAAATTCAAAATTTGTGTGGCTCACTTCGTTTCAAAGATTTTTTTGTCTTTTGAACAATTATAAAAATTAAATTGAGCGAAAACAAAAGGCCAAGCCAAATAAAAGTAGAAGAATCAACATTGAATTGCGTCAAAATGAAAATAAGGCAGTCTGCACACACACGGTTCGTATAGCTTTAGACGCGTATAAATTTTTTTATGGAGCAACGATTCCTCTACGCCTTAAGATCTGCACACGAAGCAACTTCAAAGCATCAAAGTATCAGGCAAAAAATGTTAAGTGATGCAAAATTATTATTTCTTTAATTAATTTTCAGTTATTTTTCTATTATTTGCACGAATTTTATTGTTTTAACCTTTTTTTATGAAATTCATGCACGCACAAGGAAAATTGTAAACAAACTTCTTCTTCTTTCTCTTTTCTAAGCGAACGTACGCCTAGCTACCAACACTGCTGTACGCCCAGCGATTTGCAGCCAGCTTGCTTTGACGAATTCGTGAAGCTGACGCCTCGTATACATCCCTCCATTTAAATGCACGTGTGCGGCATCAAAGCGTACAACTTTCGTATGTAGCAGGGATGAAAAAGTAGGTACAATTGTACCTTTTTCCGACGTTTGATCGACTTTTAGGGCCGGTTACTCAATGTCTGGTTAACACTAATCTCCGGTTAAACATAGTTATCGACGTTACCGACTCCCTGTTATATGCATCGAGTCGAAGTCGTCGATAACGATGTTTATCCGCAAATTAGTGTTAACCAGACATTGAGTAACCGGCCCTTAAAGGTACATTAGGTACAGTCAGTAGATTTTAGGTACAATTATTATTACTGACCCATATTCGCGTTTTGATTTCGTGAAATATATTTAAAATGCTTTCGAAGTTACTTACGGCAATTCGATTATTTTCTCTAGACTTGTTGCACCTATTAAAAGGAATCGGATAAATTAGCAGACTTTTCTTGTTGTTGCTGGATAAAGAAGTAAACTTCGCAAAGCATGTTTTTTGTCTTTTTCACCAATATTTTTCAGTAGTCAAAGTTAGACAAAAACAACGCTTCTCCGATTCCCATTAGACTATAGTCTATAGATATAGGCTCAGTTGAAAAAAAAAACATAATCATGCTTAAAGTATATCCATCTTTTGTATTCATGTTTTAAATAAAATTTATAAAAAAAAAACTACAAATGAATTATGTAACCTTTTTTACGTACAATCTGTCTCATTTAGATACATATATTTTATGATATTAAGTACAATCTGAAATTTCCATTTTTCATCCCTGGTATGTAGCATCTAATACGCGTCTAAAGCTATACGACCCGTGTGCAGACTGCCTAAGGGAGCACGAATTTCGATGCTTTCCGCACATCTGCTCGGCTAATCATAGTTGCTTAAGATACACTATAGTGATGCAACGATTACATGAAGACTATACATCTGCACACCAGTGTTGCCGTTTTAGCCCTTTGGTGGCTAGATTTAGCTACCACATACTTTTTTTGGCCCCATAAATTTAAAATTGCCCCTAGCCCTTTTTTTAGCCCTTTCGAGGATTTATTCATACTTGGCATGAACAAGTTGTATATACTTAATTTGATCTATTTTTTTTTTATTTATGTAAGAGATAAATTTTTAATTTTTTTCATGTTTTCATACATACATACTGTAAAAGTGGTAGGGTTGTTATCTTATCTATTAACGATTTAACTATAGTTTAAAATAGATAAGTTTACGGCCCTTAGTATGCTTAATTTGTTAAATGGCACATCAAGTCGATTGACCGTGTATGTTCTTGTGATGTGATTGTACCAGCTGCTGGTGGGACTTCAAAAACCAGCATGCTGGTGTCGTGAGTGGCGAAATTAGCTAAATTTTCTAAGTAAAAATTATTTTGGCGGAAATTTCTTGCACTATATGAGTCAACGCCGTGAGTGTGGAGGAGTAAGTTCCCGATATTGCAGTTGTGAATTAAAAAAAAAAAACAATGTTTGACAAAATGGTAGAAAAATTATGAAATTTCGGCTCTAATCAGTTCGATCTTTCCTCGACCTCGTTTGTAAAGAAATGAATATTGTAGCAGCATGCTGGTAAGTTATATGCTTCGAGCATGATGGTAAAATCAATTGATGGAGCCAGCAAGCTGGTGTCGTATATTTTCCCTTAAATACAAAACGGTTGCTGGTTGGAAAAATATTTGCTTTTTTCCAGAGTTCATTGTTTTTCTATACCATTGCTTATTGAAAATGTTTGCGTGTATGCTTTTATATGTTTATGTAAGTAAAAAATTGCAGCTACCATTTTTAGCCACAACGACTTTTTTTAGCTCTTTTTTAGCCCTGTTTTTAAAGGAATTTGGCTACCACTAAAAATGATTCGCGGCAACACTGCTGCACACTCGCTCGTCATGCTTAAATTTTTTTAAACTTTAAATTTTTTAAGTGAAACTTCTTACACGAGTTCGGAGCGGAGTTGGGCAAAATTTATTCGAATGACGAATAACAAATGAATAAATTGTTTTTCTTGTTATTCGTAAATAATAAATAATTTTGTTTATTCAAAAAAAAATTATTCGAATGACGGATAAATTATTTTATTCGTTATTCGAATAACTATTATCTTCATTCATTATTCGAATAACGAATAAAATGATAATAAAACAAGTAATTTATGTATATAGATATGTACATATATTTATGTATAAAATGATAACCGTTTTTGTTACGATTTAACTAAAACCCCTGGATAAATTTAAATCAAATTTTTGGAGGTTATTCCATGCGCATAAAGTCCTGTTAAAGGCTACTAGAAAACTCCTTGGTGGCGATGGAGCCGAGTTATTTATAAAAGCCGTATTTATG